AGACGATCATTGCACCATCGTAGCTCATTCATTCATGCCGCGAGGCATGGTCTCATCTTACCGAAGGGACTCATGGATTCATCGATTCCCAAGGAACTCGATCATCGATTCATCCTATATGGCCGCTTGGCTTGTCGACGACCCATGCACTCGGCCATGAATGCCTGCGTGAGGGGAGCCACGCGATGCACGAGTCATCCGTCCATCCATCTTTGTTTAGAGGTGCTCAATTTGATCGGCCATGGCCTATTTCGTCGACCATTGATGCATGTTACGACTCAATCTTGTGCCCATAACATAGGTCCATGCATTGCCCAACAATTGCCCAAAGGCCGGTCATGGCCTTCGAGCACCTCCACCCCCCTAAAGAGCCTTATGAGCAATTTTGCTCCCAGCAGGAGGAGACATTCATCATGTTTGAAATGGCACCACGTCTCTAAAAAAATATAGAAATTGAATTTTGATGAGATTTTTTGCAGAGATGCTTAGAAAAATGTGACCTAAATTATGGATGCATAAAAAAAAATTTTGAAGCTCGGAAATATTTTTTTTTATTTTTGGTATTTAAAAAATTATAAAAAATTGGAAAATTAAAAAAAATAGTTGGGAGGTGGGAAAACAAATGGGGGATCTATTTGATGACTCAAACAGAATTTAGGAAGAAGAATGGATTCAATTGGATGAGAAATGATCGGTGAAGTAGCGATCGGTTCCATGTGCCTCGTGCATGGCCGATGCACTCGGCCATGAGCCTCGTGCATGACCCATGCACTCGGCCACGAGGCTCGGCCAGGACCGATGCACTTGGCCACGATCATCGGCCACGTCCCATGCACTCGGCCAAGATGCTCGGGCACGACGCACGGCCATGAACGATGCCCGGGCACGATGCACGAGCGCGACCCTCGGCCATGAACGAACGATGCACGGGCGCGATGCTCGGCCATGAACGATCCACGGGCCCGTTGCACGGGCGCGACCCTCGGCCATGAATGAACGATGCACGGGCGCGATGCTCGGCCGTGAACGATCCACGGGCACGATGCACGGGCGCGACGCTCGGCCATGAACGATGCACGGGCGCGATGCACGGGCACGGTGCACGGCCATGAACCATGCACGGCACGACGCACGGGCACGATGCACGGCCGTGAACGATCCACGGGCACGATGCACGGGCGCGACGCTCGGCCCTGAACGATGCACGGGCGCGATGCACGGGCGCGGTGCACGGCCATGAACCATGCACGGCACGACGCACGGGCACGATGCACGGCCGTGAACGATCCACGGGTACGATGCACGAGCGCGACCCTCGGCCATGAACGAACGATGCACGGGCGTGAACGATCCACGGGCACGATGCACGGGCGCGATGCACAGGCACGGTGCACGGCCATGAACCATGCACGGCACGACGCACGGGCACGATGCACGGCCGTGAACGATCCACGGGCACGATGCACGGGCGCTACCCTCGGCCATGAACGAACGATGCACGGGCGTGATGCTCGGCCGTGAACGATCCACGGGCACAATGCACGGGCGCGATGCACGGGCACGGTGCACGGCCATGAACCATGCACGGCACGACGCACGGGCACGGTGCACGGCCATGAACCATGCACGGCACGACGCACGGGCACGATGCACGGCCGTGAACGATGTACGGGCACGACGCACGGCCACGACGCTCGGCCATGAACGATACAAGGCTGGATGCACGGGCACGACGCACGGCCGTGAACGATGCACGGGCACGACGCTCGGCCGTGAACGATGCACGGGCACGACGCACGGGCACGACGCACGGCCGTGAACGATGCACGGGCACGACGCACGGGCACGACGCTCGGCCATGAACGATACACGGCACGATGCACGGGCACGACGCATGGCCTTGAACGATGCACGGGCACGCGCTCGGCCACGAACGATGCACGGGCACGACGCTCGGCCACGAACGATGCACGGCACGATGCACGGGCACGATGCACTGCCATGAACCATGCAAGGGCACGACGCTCGGCCATGAACGATGCACGGCACGACACACGGGCACGATGCACGACCATGAACCATGCACGGGCACGACGCTCGGCCGTGAACGATGCAGGGCACGACGCACGGGCACGACGCTCAGCCATGAACGATGCACGGGCACGACGCGCGGGCACGACGCTCGGCCATGAACGATGCACGCTCGGCCATGAACGATGCACGGCACGACCATGAACCATGCACGGGCACGACGCTCGGCCATGAACAATGAACGGGCACGACGCGCGGGCACGACGCACGGCCATGAACGA